CCGATTTTGTGTGTAGGTTTCAGTTCTTTATAGACAAAGTGCTGCCGCAGTACAAGGATTCGGTTATGTCACACACTCTGATCTACATCCCGTCTTACTTCGACTACGTTCGGCTGCGTAACTACATGAAGAAAGAGGAGATGAACTTTGCCAGCGTCTGCGAGTACTCCAGCAAATCCGAGGTGTCCCGAGCACGCCACTTTTTTCAAAAGGGGGAGAAACAGTTCATGCTCTTTACGGAGCGCTTTCACTTCTACAAGAGGTCAGTTCTTTGTAATGCTCTGTCATGTGGGCCTTTTCCATAGTAAATCAAACAAATCTGAAGACAAAAAACCCACCTGACCACCTCTGAGTCATCTGATTTATTTTGTACAATAACTTTGGTATGTTAAATATGGTGGGAATTTCCTAAGTTAAAGACCCTCAGGGTGCAAAGGGTGGTCAAAATGTAGCTTTGTTTAATTTGCATGTTTTTCGGGGCCTTAAAAAGACATTTAAGATCTGGTTTGGATTTTTAATTTGTTTGTTTGTTTGTTTCAAACAGCAACCAAATACATTTTATACCCACTCAAAGTGTCACAATCTAAAGCCAAAAAAAACATGCCTGTTGTGGGAGTTTCAATAACAAGACTGTACCAGCTTTTACCAATTGGTCGCTTATTACCTGTTCAGCTTGTAACACTTTTCTTTTGGCTTTACTAAACTTTAGAGATTCAACTGTAAGAGAACTTATATCCGTCGCTTCTGTCGGCTGTGAAGGCTTTAAAGGCACTAATCTTTAGAGTTAACGTCACCAGATAACTGATATATATTTGTAATCCATTTTATTGCACTCACCTGATAGCTGCATATGACAAGTTGCCAAGAGAGAAACTATGGTACTGTATGATGAAGTCACAAGTGGCAGAGAAGTATGTGAGCCTGGTACAGGGCATGAATGTGGGGGTGGGATTGCATCAGGGATCCCCTGTTGTTTGCATTGGCGATGAACAGGTTGACAGACGGGGTCAAGCATGAGTCTCTGCAGATGACAGGACAGAATGTGTGTGTGAATAAGGGGGAGATTTTGGAAGTTTTCTAGTCTGTTCTGGGGGAGACAGGTGAAGAGGTGAACAGGCAGATTTTAAATACCTGATAGAAGAATAGCAGAAAGAGTGAAAGGGAAGTTTTACAAGATGGTAGTGAGAGCTGCTATGATGTGTGGTTTGTGAGGTGGTGGTACTGACAAAAAGACAGGAGGCTGAGCTGAAGATGGTAGGATTTTCATTGGGAGTGACCTGGACAAGAGTGGAAATAAGTAATCTGAGGGATAGCTCAGTTTGAAAACAACGTTAGAGAGCTTGTTTGGAAATGTGAAGAGAAAGAATATGAGATATATTCGACAAAGGATGGAGAAGCCAGGCAGGAGGCAAAGAGGAAGACCTCGAGAAGAATTGTGAATAAAGTGAAGGAGGACGTGCAGAGGTTTGGTGTAAAAGAGGGCTGGGCTGAAATGGAGCCAGATTATCTGCTGTGGTAACCTCTTAGGGGAGCAGTCAGAAGAAGAATTGTAGTACTGTCAGGTGTTTTCATCTTGTTGTTGCTTTGATGCTTCTTTTCTTTCTTTCTTTTGTAATTTAGAGCACATAAATGTCTAATCATGGAATAACTCCTAAATATTTCAAAAGAAAACATGAAGCCATTTTCTGCTAGATTTATCCAACTAATTTCCTCCTTGTTTAAAATTACTGCAAAGGTTGCAGCTACTCCAACAGTTATTACTAAGCAAATTAAGTTACATTAAATCCTTGAATGCACTTTGATCAATTAATACAGCTCACGATCTCAATTTAGGAAGCTTATATAAATCTATGCTCTCAAGGTAACACCTTGATAAGATTTTATTACACCAGCGTGATAGTGTAATCGTTCGGCGTGATAGTTCAGCTGCGGGTTAAACAGGCTGTTGAAAAGTCAAATCGCATCAGCAATGCATGTACTTATAACGTTTCTTGTTATAGAAACTGGTTTAGTATATCCTCTGCTGTAGGAGATAATAAAGGACAGTTTATATCAGTTCTATCCTCTCGCTTAAAGAGAATAATCACTCGGCTTTAGCCAGTGTCTTGTCCCATTAATTTGCTCCCCTTGATCCGTTTTAAAGAGCTCTGGAAGACTATTGGACCAATCGTTCAGACCACTGTTTAAAATAAATAGGCCGTTCAGACTGATGTTAATAAGCTGTGGTACTCCTGCCGATGAAAACACAAATCCTAATGCTTTGGTTTTCTCTAATTTTAGACTTATTTAAAAACTGCCATATATACCTAAAGTTTTAGAGAAAACTGTACTTTTAAAACGGCAGTTCTTTTTAGGCACTCACAGTATTTTGGAAGTTTTCTAGTCTGTTCTGAAAATCATCCCTGTTTTTGTGAATTGCATGACTTCACTATTATTGTGCTTTTAAATCTTACTGATGCTTCTGATGCTGTGAACCACACAAGTTTCTTGTCCCGTGTAGAACACTAAGGCATCGAGGGTGGTTTAAACACAGAGAACCTTCTCGGCTCGTTTTGGTGACAGACTTCTTCCTCAGCCACTCTTGCATGTGGAGTCCAATGGGTTTAATTCTTGGGCCAATTCTCTTCTCTTTATTTTTCCCTATGGGACTAATTGCAGATGACACCGTAATTTATGTGCCAATAAAAAGAAACTATGTCAGCGCCCTTAAAGCACTGCTGGTGGCTCTAAGCTTTTTTTTTTTTTTTTTTTTTTTCTAATGAATGTCTTAGTCATGCTTTTATAATGCACCTGGCCTACTTTAATGCACTTTCCGTTGCCTTTAGCAACACTTCAATTGCTCGTCTGTAGTTAGTCGGGTTTTTTGTTTTTTAAACCTTTGAAAGATCAGCACCAACTTGGGTATCCAAGCTGCTGACTATTCATTTTAATAGAATCTTATTACTAAATCTTACTAGTCTAACCCAGGTTGCCCTCAGTTTGGCATCTTTCTAGGTAAAACTGTTTCACTGCTTTTTTTCATCACTGGACGAGGCCTTTATCTTCTCAAGGGCATTCAAATGTGTGTTGAGGTTTATCCAACCAGTCTACATGTGTTTTGTGGACTTTAAGGGAACTGGCCTATTATTGCAGGGAATTTGGTCCTTGTATTACCATAGCTTGGTTTGCATCAGCATCAGAAATCCAGCTTGCAGATTGGATGACAGTCAGCTCCTCCAAGTATAAAGCCAGGGTTTTTAGCTGGAAAAAACGTGAGAAGATGATGGACCATGTTGTCCTTGGTTTAAAAGAGTCTGATCTCTGACATGCTTCTTTTAGGTACACAATCAAAGGGATCCAGAACCTGATATTTTATGGATTGCCCTCCTTCCCACACTTCTATAGCGAGGTGTGTAACATGCTGGCAACAGCAACTCAGGGGGAGGAGGCCAGCTGGACCTGCACGGCACTCTACTCGCGCTACGACGCTCACAAACTGGCTGCCATCACCGGAGCACAGCGAGCAGGACAGATGCTGAACTCCAACAAGGCTGTTCACCTCTTTGTCACGGGAGGGGAAGACAAAAATGTGTGATGACACTGGATGAATATGAAAAGGACCACTGGAGTAAATTGAGCATAGGTGTTTACCATGCTTAATAATCAGGAAAGTTTCCAAATGCACCAGAAAACATGTTTATTGGCTTTGTTTTATGGTCTCCTGCAACAACATTCCTTTCATTTGTAAAGAGATTATTAACTTGTCACTGATAAGAAGAGTTGGATGTTTATTATTAAAAACTTTCCTTATCTTTTACTTGATTAACCCCTTAGCAGTCCTACAAATTTACAATTAGTCCCCTAAACCATCCAATGTACCGTGGGCGGTACGTCCGACTGCTAACAGGTTAAAGTTCATGCGTAGCAAAATGTGACCTAACACGGCCATGAAGTGCCAAAATAATTGCATAATAGTTTTCATGAGGTGATAATGCAGTAATCTTATGAGAATTTCAAGCCAAAACAACCTGCGAGAGTAGCTTTGCATGATTTATAGTTCAGATTAATCCTCATAAAACTCAAACAAGGACAGTGTAGATTAAAACCTTAATGTCACCATGATCGTCATGGATATAAATGTGGAGAGACTAAAACTCACAAACTCAACATGTAAATGTTGATGTTGAGGGTTCAAAGCTAGGAGAAGACCCCCATTTCAGACAGGTCATTGAAGGTGAACGCTATTTTTACAGGTTGTTTATTTAATTCCATTTTGCTCTTGTTTTATGACTACTAAACAAGCAAAGGTGGGGAGATAATAACCGTCTTTAAGCATCAAGAAACCCCAGCAAAGTAAGGCTAGTGGAGGGGTAACAATCTATTACATCAGGTTTGTGGCATGAGGGAACCAAAGAGAGCTGGAGGAGTATATAGAGGCCACTATTAATTGAAACAATACATTAAAGAGACGACACAAAAGATAATGCATGCAGAAATGTGTAAAAATACTGGTGAACCATAGATTATGAGCCATTTTTTCTCCTCTTTTTATTAAATGCAGCTGATCAAAGCGCTGATAAGTCCAAGGCTTAAGCTGTCCTGCGGGTAAGGAGACTATTTTAGGGCTTTGAATTGGTCTTTTTGTAAAACAGTCTAACTTCCATTCGAATAACAAATACACAAAATGACGTCTAGTCTTACCCTAAAAATTGATCTAGAGTGTGTTTGTGAAACCAGCCCTTGTCTAGAGGACACTGAAAGCGGAAGGCTCTACCTCCTATTTTGCAGTCTCATCGTGTTATGCTCTATTGGGATAATATGTTATTAGCGGGTAACATAACATCTCAAGGCCAATGGAGGAGTACAAGAGAGTCTTTGCGGTCTGATTTACATATTTCTGACTCAGGGCTGCTTAGGTGCTGGGCATCCCTGTCGTCCCTGAAGCAGCCAATCAGTGAAGCCCAGCAAACGTGTGAGAATACCAAGCAAAACAGGTGGTTGTATGAGCCGCCCACATAATTATTAACTCCTTGTGTTGATGCAATAGTGACTTTGGTCACGCTATTATAGTGTTTTCTCCGCTGTTAAAGGTGTCAGGTTGTAGGCAGCTGTTTAACTGCAGTGATGACGGAAGAAAAGCCGCAGAAGCTCAAACTAAAGCGGGAGCTGGGGATGCTGGGAGCCGTGTCCCTCATCGTGGGGACGGCGGTCGGATCTGGGATCTTCATGACCCCACAGACGGTGATCAGCTCCATCGGGAGCCCCGGTGCCAGCCTGGTTATATGGGCGTCTTGCGGCCTGCTGGCGATTCTGGCGTCTTTCTGCTACGCCGAGCTCGGCACAGTTATAAAAGAATCAGGGGGCGAGTACATCTACATTCTGAGGACTTCATGTCCAGCGCTTGCCTTCATGTTCATCTTTAGCTCTGTGCTCTTTGTGAGACCTGCAGGCATTGCTGGCATAGGACTGAGTTTTGCTGCCTATGTTGTGACTCCTTTCTACGGAGACTGCCCCCCTCCGGTGCTGGTGGTGAAGTGCGTGGCCGCAGCGGCAATTATCACGCTCGCCACCGTGAACTGCATGAAAGTTCGCTTTGCAATGTCAATCCAAGTTTTCTTTACTGTAGTCAAAGTCTTGGCTCTGGCAGGGATTATCATAGGAGGTGTGGTGATGCTTATCAAAGGCCACACTGAGAATTTTGAAAACTCCTTTGAGAACACAAATGTTGGCGTCAATTCAATAGGAATTGCTTTCTACCAGGGGCTGTGGTCATACGACGGCTGGAACAATCTGAACTCAGTGACTGAAGAGTTAAAACGTCCCGAGGTAAGTGGGAGGGCCTTCAGAGGCTGACCCATGCTCTGACTGTAAAACACAATCACCCCGAATAAATAAGTAATGGGTTCTCTGCAGGGAGAAAATAATTTATTTTTATTGCTGAGAAATTTACAAATGTTTAACGTGAACTTTGAGCTATAACCGGCTGAGACTTTTATGTTGAGGCCACAGAAGTACAGTAGCGACAGAGGTAATAAATAAATAAACGGTTTAATTTTAGATCTAACAGAAAGATTATCTGTTACTAGTGTGCATTATAACATCACATAAAGAAAAACGTTTTTTTTTCTGTTGATATTCTTCCTATTTCTAATCTTCCGGCAGCATAATAAGACCCTAAACTTAAATCAATAGTTTCTTATCATAAAACTTGTTCTGTTGAAACCCATTTTAATAAACAACATTATTTGAGTATAACTACTTTTTTTTTTCCTTTTAGCCATAAAATGCAGATGAGGTATTCATCACACAGGCGGGCAGGCGACGTAGACGCCCAAGTTTGTAAATGCAATACGATGTCGGAGTAGGCGTTGATTGAATGATTTGGTCAAATTAATCTCTGCTTAGTAATAAAGACCAAGTGAAAAAGAATATGATCACTTTTATATATTTTTTTTCTCTTATTAAGGAACATTGTACATGTATCACATTGTTATGTATTTAAACGGTTATAAGCTGTTACTCATTTCTGACACATTTTAAATCTTGGTACCTTTAAGAGTCAGCTTTTCAATAAATTATTAAGTTGACCTTGAGAATAATTTAATGATTTAATGTCTGACAAAGATGGATGTAGCCCAGATGTTGAATGATAGATTCATTTATTTGGTAACATGAGCCCATTAAATGATTATTGGGTTTTTCTCCTGAAGTCCAGATTCACTCTGTGCTCCTGTGTTCAGGCTTAGATCCGTTTGCATTTATCTATTTAGTTTATTCGGCTCTATTATATTTTTAATGTATTTATTTAAACGGGACAGTGCATCTTTATGTAAATATGTCAGAGTTAGCCAAACAGCAAGTCAAGCAAAAGCAATAGAAAAGACATTTAACACAACATCAGACAATGAACAAGAATCTTGCTCTAACAATATTAGAGGCTGTTCTTTTCTTTCTAAACATTCAGCAGGGGATCAAATACATTATTTCTCCCCAATAAAAAGAAAATCTCTTTTCCCTTTCAGAATATAACAGAATAATAGTTACTCATTTTCCTAATCTATTGGTCCACACTAGTTTATCCCAGAGTAGACAAATATTTATAGAAATTGGTTTCCTGATAAGATGTGGCTCAGGATTAAAATCCTCAAATAAATATTTTTGAGTGCAACGGCAACTTTAAATCTGGTGTTTTGTGTGTTAGTTGGGGCATCTCGCAGCAAGAAATTGAGTGCCTTTAAACGGTTCATAATGCAAAAATCTCATCTCAACCCACAGTTTGCACTGGAGTTTGTGGTTTTGCAGGCTTTACAGCGCTATAACCTGGTAGTTAGGATTGTGCTAAGTCATGCAGAACTGCTCGTGCTGTTCATGAGAGCATATTGCTAAGCAGTTTTATTTTTCTCGTATTTTTATTTTTAGCTTTTTAGTTTCTGGAGTGGCAGTGGTTATTTAAGATTCTCACTTATTCATTCATTGCATAGTTATACATTTATTTTTGTTAAGCTACAGTGTAGCTTGCCATCACCAGTGTGTGAATGTGTGTGTGTGTGAATGGGTGAATGACTGAATGTAGTGTAAAGCGCTTTGAGGTCCTTAGGGACTAAGTAAAGCGCTGTAAAAATACAGGCCATTTACCATTTTTACCATTTAATGTTACTGTCTTATTACAAATGTATGGGTATTTCTAGTATATATACATATATTTTTGTACCCCCAAAATATTTAGTTAGTTTTTATATTTTTCTAAAGTACATAGTAACTATTAAAATATTTTTGAAACTATAACTAATGTGTGTATGTGTTAGTCCCCATAGGGAAATAGTTCCTCTGCATTTAACCCATTCACCCAGTGAAGCAGTGGGCAGCCACCAATGCAGCGCCTGGGGAGCAGTTAAGCATTGTTAAGCAGATGTTCATGTCTTCTCTCAGATTAGGTATTTTTCTGCTGCCAGTACAGCTCTCCAAGCTATTCATGTAGGTCCAGACACAAGAAAACATTATATTGAGGACTGAAGACAGTCTTTCTCTGACTTTGAGGACACTAGTAGAATGCATTCGGTTTGCAGGGACTTTTACTGTAGAAAAGCAAGACTGAAATTATTTAAAACATGTATATTTTTAATGCTTTACTTCCCTGTCAAAGTTTTATAAAAAACCTAAAATAAATTACTGCTTACGTGAAACCTAAGAGAAAAGAAGAACTTTAAACAGCCATGCTGATGATAGCCTCGCCTTACTTTCGTAGCTGTATAATTAAGTGTGCTCCGCCTCTTATGTAAAAGACAACACTTTACAGCTACAGGTCTTCTTGTCCGCTGCTTCTAGGAAGACAAA